ATACTGACGACGTTATAGTTATAATATAATTATTAAAACTCTTAAGTTATATTAAAATCATAAAGAAATTATTATTAAAATATATAAATTAAAATTTACCCGAAGGAGCTGCTCCTCATCAGCATTGCGACAAGAAAAATATCCTCAGAAATTTATGATCTTCGAACACAATCATAAGCAATTTGAACGATTTTCAGATATTTCATTCGTTCTAGCAGAGGTGTCGTGTTTGTTCGACAGTCGAAACTGAACTGCGCAATGGAGACAAAGTCACCCCATTCGTTCGTTCGACGGTCGAGAATGAACTGCGCAAAGGAGACAGAGTTGCCCCATTCAGATTGTTGTTGTTTCATCTGCGTCGACTTTTCGTTTTCGAAATCGTAAATATCACGATCGACGAGAAGAGCGAGTTGAAGTAATTGACAGCACGTGTAATTTAAACAGAATTTTCTGCTGGATGTAACTGCGACAATACTTCTCTAGAAAGAGGTATGTTTCGTCATATTTTCTTCCTTCTTTCCGAAAATAAATTTTCTCGCACTTCGGAATGTGGACGTAAATTCTAGAGAAAAAATTTAATTTCAAGGAAAAAGTAAAATCTTCTGTCAGTCGCAGTTCTTGCCCAACTGCTTCACAAATCGTTTATCATTGATGAACGATTATTGGTGTATAGTTTGTTTCTGACTATAAAATCACCCAAAGTCAGGCATCATTAAAAGAGTGGTTCAACAATACTGACTTTATAGAGTTATTAATAAGGATCTCTATTAAATACAATTTCATTACACGGTGATGAAAAATATTTGATGTTTAGTGTTAGCATTTCTCTAGACATTTTTTCAAGTATACAAACCAGTGTTACAATTTCCTATTGATTATTTCTACGAGAAAGAAGGAACTTGGTGTCAATTCGTAGGGCATTATCTATTACCGACAAAGTTAAATAGAAAAATTACATCACATCATAAAATTCATGAAACGGCTATTCCTCTTGAAGTAAAATTAAAATTCACAAAACTTTCAGATCGTTCGAAATTAACAGCCTGCAACTTGGAATGAAAGTTACTACACGACTTTTTTTTGCGTAGAAATCGAACTATTTCATTGAGCACTATTTAATTAACTATTTTTCTCTTAGACGCTACATTATCATTGATCAGAGTATTACTGCTGCATGGAAGATATCATCATAAAATACGACACTGAGGTTTTCACCAGCTGAAAGATAAATAATT